ATATCATTCCATAATTTGTATTTTGATTCTCTTCCAGGTATTTAGCATAAATTCATAGTGCAAATCCAGTGTAATTAGGAAATCTCGTATGCAAGAAAATGTTTAATTCTTGGTCTCAAAAGCTTTTCAAATCAAACTTTCTACAACTTCATAGAACACATATAACCAGTGTTTGAAAATTATAAACAGAAAAAAAGTACAACACACACTTCACTCTTATTGCACCTTATTTCCATTTTTCTCATTGAACCATGGATTTTTACTTTATAACTTAGATTAAATTTCGAACCAAAACTTTGAAATCTCTAAACACCTAGTAAAGACCTAACCTTGTGCTCCTCCAAGTTGTTGCAGAGCATTGACAAAACGCCGATGCAATTCAGGTGACCAGCATCTCCTCTGCTTCCTCTGCTGCCCAGCCCTTGAATTCGATAGACAATTAGCTGCAGAAGACGAACCTGATCCACTGCAACTGGATATCGAATTCAAACCACGAGATTCCATATCATCCGTCCCATTCTTAATTCCAGGTGTACTAAGAGAAAGCACTGGTGCTCCAGGCAATTCACCCCTATCTTCCTTCCTCACTGTCATCACTGGAAAATCAGTATACCCCTTGAAAGGCATAAAAGCCCTTCCCACTGTTCTGTTATTGCTAGACTGAAACAAATCATCCATCAAATTCACAGGCCGATTATTTTCTTCTTCAACTCTCTATTAACCAAAAAACATAAACGAGAACAAATCCCATTACGACATATACACAAGATATTAGTTTATAACAGATATTTATGAAAACATAGATTTTGTTTCATACCCTTTTGTTGTCTCGATTTAAGGCTTTCTTGTTGTTGCTGAATTCAATATCTGGGCAAGAATTTAGATTATCGGAGTTCCATAGCTGCACAGAGCTCATCCAATTCATTTTATCTCTACTGCTAACAATTTCATCTTTTGGAGCCTCCGCTTTTTCGTCTAAATCATTACTAATTTTCTTCAATGGTATAAATTCTTCCAATATTGGCTCAGTACTTGATTTTTTGCACTGCATTAACTCCCCCTTCATTATCGCGAGTGCTGCAACGGCAGTCATCAAAACCCCAAAAATTAGCAATCCCATCTATAAGACACAAAACCCCATCCCAGCAACAAAAAATCCCAAATAAACCATTTTCTTAAAATTAAGAAATAAAAATATAAAACCATTTATAAAATAGAAAATTGGCTCACCGTCAGTGATGAGGAGCATGCAAAGAGGGAGCTCTCGTTTGAATGCATCGATCTTCTTCATTTCATCTTGGAGCCTATTGACATAATCATCGAGCTTCGAAAGTCTTTCAGATGAGTTAATAATCAACGAAACTTCGGCAAGAAATTCACTGATCGTTTTGGGAATATAAGGCTTCATCGTCGATTGTCTACAAGTCAAACTCAGTTCCAATGATCCCATTTCTTTTCTTGCCAGATCTTCGGTTTTTCAATTACTTAATTTTCCCAGTTTTCTTGTGATCCCAAAATCAAAGATAAGAGGGGAAACAGTGAGTATCTATATATACAGTGTGAATGCAATAGCGAGAGAATAGAAGAAGTCAGGGGTTTCTTTTAGAGACAGAAACGCGAAGATTCTGTAACGCACCGCCGAGTTTTGACAGAGCTGAGCCGATGATATCTATATATGCAAATATGAAG